TTATTTCCTTTTTTATATTATTATTTTCAAAAGAACCAGCTTTTGTTTTCATTGGTCTTTTGAACTGTCCTTTTTATTTATATTTCATTTATTTCTGCTCTGATTTTTATTATTTTCTTCCTTTTACTGACTTTTGGAGTTCTTGTTCTTTTTTCAAGTTTGTTAACCTCTTCACTAAATGATGTTTAACAAACTGGACTGCCACGTGCAAAAGAATAACATCAGACCACTATCTCACATAATCAATTTAAAGTGGATAAAAGACTTGGATATAAGTCCTAAAACCATAACATATATAGAAGAAAACATAGGCAAAAAACTCCATGACATAAACTTCAGAAACATCTTTGAGGACTCATCTTAAGCAGCAAGGAAAACAAAGGAGAATATAAACAACTGGACCAACATCACACTAGAAAGCTTCTGTATAACCACAGAGACAGTAATCAAAACAAAAAAACACCCTACTGAATGGGAGAAAACAATTGCCCACCATACATCCAATGAAGGACTGATATTGAAGATCTACAAAGAGCTTATATAACTCAACACAAATGAGACAAACAATTAATGAAAAAATAGGCAGAAGAGCTAACTAGCACTTCTTCAAAGAAGACATGCAGATGGTCACAGGCATGTGAAAAAATTTTCATCAAATTTATCATCAAGGAAATGCAAATCAAACCACAATGAGATACCACCTCATGCCTGTGAGAATGGCCCATATTAAAATAACTAAAACCATGTGATGGCAAGGGTGTGGATAAAATGAAACCCTCTTACACTGTTGGTGGGAATATAGACTGGTCTGGCCCCTAAGGAAAGCTGGGTGAATGTTCCTCAAAACACTAAAAATGGATGAGCCATGTGACCCAGTAATCCCACTTTTAGATAACTACTCAAAGACTACAAAAACACTAATTCAAAAGGAAACCTATACTCCTATGTTTATTTCAGCACTATTTACAATAGCCAAGATATGGAAACAACCTAAATGCTCCTAAACATATGAGTGAGTTAAGAAGATGTGGTATATATGCACAATGGAATACAACACAAAGATCAACAAAGATAAACTCATGCCATTTGTAGCGACATGACATGGGTGGAGCTGGAAGAGATTATGCTAAGCAAAATAAATCAGAAGGATAAAGATTAATATCAGATGGTTTCATTGACATGTGGGATATGGAGAAAACAAACACAAGGACAGACAAAGACAAACATTGAAAGCTGACTATTTATCTGAGGCTTCTAGGAGTGGAAGGGGAGTGCGGGGAAGGTAAAGGTAAAGGGGAGAGGGTGAAAATAGGAGTGGCAAGAATTTGTTGAATTATGACTCAGGCTTCCCCAGGGGGATGTGGTAGGATGGGAGCAAAGGGGAGAAGGGGCTCCAGTGGAGGATTGCTGGGGCTTTTGTGGTGGGTGTGGTGACCTGACATTCAATTATAGAGGTGTAAACGTATACCCCTAAGACATACTGTGATGTAAATCAACATTACCTCAATAAACATAAACTTTACAAAAAAGAGAAGTAATTATGGTGATCTGAATGACCAAATATATGCTTTTTATAAGTCAGAAAGTCACAGTTAATGGAGATGAACAGAATGTTTAAATTGAGACTTTATGTATATGAAACACACAGTACTACAGTGTCAATTCAACACAGTAGGGATCAGAATAATCCTGCATCAAAATTTATGTCATTTGTTGGAGATGACATAACTATTTCAGGCTGTATAAGCTCAAAATGTTGTTAGGGAAAATAGCCACTTCTAATGAGATTGTTATTACTAAAAATTTCAAAGTGGATCACATTGTAGATAATGTGTTTCTCTAAAAACTTTCCTCTGAGACCTGGAACAGGAAATTGTTCTGAACATTTATAACTGCTCAGTAGATTGGAAACTATTTATCAGTTTTGTCTATTTAATATGCGTATGCTAATTCTATTTACATCTAAAGGATCATTAATTGCTAGAGCCTGTATCTAAAATTGCATTATCCTATATTTATTTATTTATTTATTTAAAGATTTATTTATTTGTTTGTTTGTTTGTTTATTTATTTATTTATTTAATTTATTTATTTATACAAGCACTGGGTACAGTAAGAAGTGCAGGAGGGTGAGAGGATTCACCAGAGACAGAGTGGGGAGCAGAACAGGCAGACTGATAAAACACACTGCTGAGGGGAGCAGCGGGCGGCAGGAGAGGTCTGCGTGCCATGTGGGATCCTCGCCCTGTGGCTGGGGATCGAAACGGCTGGGGATGGAACCCACGCTGCAGAGTCTGAGGGCGGCTTTGCAGCCCAGCACTCAACTGCTGCGCCACCAGGGGAGGCCCTATCCTATATTTAACAAGTGAAATTACTTCCTAATGTCAACTCAGTGCTTGAACTCCTCTTAAGCAGAACTGTTGTGAGAGGGGTCATCGACATAGTGAAGAATTATTGTCTGTAGAAGATCTTTTAGGGATGTTAAAATAATGGACAGTGCAAAATAATGGACAATCCAGTAAAATTTTATGAGGTTCCTGTGACAGCTGTGATAAATTGTCATAAACTTGGTGTCTTCAAACAACAGTTTTAAAAATTATGGAGGTCAGAACTCCAAAATCAATATTACTGGCCCAAAATTAAGGAGTTGGTAGAATTAGGCTTTGTCTGGAGGTTCTAGAACAAAATTCATTCCTTGCTTCTCCAGCTTTTGGTGGCTGCTTGTGTTCCCTGACTCATGCCACATCACTCTAATCTCTGCCTGAATTTTCACTTGGTCTCCAATTCTGTCTGTATCAAATCTTCCCCTGCCTCTCTGTTAGAAGGATACTGTGCTTGCACTGAGGGCCTCCTTGGATAACTAAGGAAAATTTCGCCATCTCAAGATCCTCAATTAATTAATTAATTAATTATTAAAAATATTTATTTATTAATGCATACAAGAGCTGGGGTACAGGCCATAGATGTGGGGGGGTGAGAGGATTCACCAGAGACAGAGTGGGGAACAGAACAGGCAGACTGACTGAAATACATTGCTGAGGGGATCAGTGGGTGAGTCAAGAGAGCGCCATGTGGGTTGCTCCCTGACAGGCTGGGGATTGAACTCATGCTGCAGAGGCTGTGGATTGCTTCATAGGGCTGTGCTTAACCCCTTGTGCCACCAGGGAGGGCCAAGATCCTCAATTTAATCACAACTACAATGATCATTTCTTTCCATTTCAGCTCCTAGGGGTCAGAGTGTTCAAATATTTTGGGAATGGGGTGGGGTCATTTTTAGCCTTCTACAAAAGCAAAACTTGGTAAAATTTGGTTATAAAAAGTGGAAAGGAAGATGAAATCCATAGCTTTAGGAGCTCTGAAGTCTTTATGTAGGAATCCCTATAGAATTTCAAGTTCGTATTATAACAGATTCTTAGTTAACCCACTGTACTTGGAATGGAATCTTGCCCCATGTTGGGAGTTGATATGTCCTTGGAAGGGATGATTCTGATGGAAATATTTTACTGGTGTCATTAAGATGTCATCAAATCCTGGGTGAAACTTCCTTGGGTGATTTTATGTTGGATCAAGTATCATTTTTCAAAGTAGAGATTCCTGGCAAATTTTAGGACTCTGAGAATCCCTGAAGCCATTCCATGATTCATAGGTATGTCTTCAGGGACCACAGTGTTTTATGATGACCTGAAGGTTATTGGAACTGAGAAAAAAAAGAAAAAAATTCTATCTTGCTTATAAGAAAATGCTAATTCACTTTCAGTATAATGACTACTTTCGGTTATGGAAGATAATTTGAGTGATTTAAGCTATTACAATACTTTACAATTACCATATGATCAGTATATATGACTAAAACTATTGTTTTTCTCCATTTAATTATTTAAATAGTCACTTCTGGTGAATTTGTTATTGCTAAGTCCATTGAAATGGGATTTCTCAATTATTTAATTAGTCTTCTTTTTTGTTTGTTATACCAGCTTGTATAGTTTGTGAAACATTTTATGAAAGTATGGATATACACTTAATGATACATTTTCTCTGTTTGATAAGTGTTATTTTTATTATGTCTTTAAGAAAGATAAAGAGTATAAAGAGGGGATGATTATGTATACATATATCATTATTATATGATGATGTATTTATAGCAAAAGATGTGTTATCTGGCTCTTTACCAACATTTCTGTGAAAGAATTGTTATTATGGCTGGGTCTCATTCTCCAATTTTATAGTTAAGATATCCTTTTCTCTGCTAGTAGCTTAAATACAAATTGATGACAGAACTGGCTGTTAGTATAGAGTAGAAAAAAAACCCATCTAATTTATTTATGAAATTGTTCTCCATGTAGGAACTATCTTCATGTCGAGCCTAAGGGCAACATCATTCAGGGAACTGCTGTGGTCCTTGTTTAAGAACCAGGGAATTTTAGAGCAGAAGCTGCATAAGAGTGTGTCTTCCAAATATTTGTAATGAGTAAACAGAGGACTGTTTTTCCAACCGAGCATGCCTTTTTAGTGGAGGGACACATTTCTAGAATCCAGAGTTCTTAAAAACCCATTCAGCGTTCTCTGTCCTCATTATATCATTTTATTCTGGTGGGATAGTGTTTCTCAAACTCTGTACCATGGGTTTTGGTGCATCTCAGATTTTCACAGGATTATTGCTTAATTTAGAAAATATAAATGAATGAAAGATAACCTTAACTAATATCTGTCAGGGCCATGTTGAACCCAAATGTGGAATGACGTGATGTAGGGGTGACTTGTGTGAGTAAGTAGCATGTTTTCAGCTAATACTATGGGAGGCTTGTGTGTTAGTTGGAGGCAAACTGGAATGAAACAGAAATAACTTACATTGTAGCACAGAACTGAAGTTGACAGTGTTAAAACTGTTGTTGAATTGTTTGTTATTGTGATTTGTTTGAAGTTTTTGAGTAAGCCATCAAAACTTTTGGTATTTGAAAATATGATGAGAAGAGAAGAACATGGAGAACTATGAATGAGGCATGCGTATTTTGAAGACTGTTCAGGCACCTTCCAACTCTGAAGTCCATGAGGCTAGAATTTTTAGGCATGATGGTATGGCATGTTGGCAATGTAAATGAGAAAACACAACCACAGAGATTTATTATGCAACTAACTCTAATTCACTCCCATTGGAAAACAAAGCCTTTCATACTGTGTGTATAATTTCATTGCACAACATCAGTGACAGTTAATATTTTCTTACATTATTTCAGTAAACCAGTTTGGATTATTGTTTCTTTTTTTCTTTTAAAGATTTATTACATTTATTTTTGCATACAAGAGCTGGGGTGTAGGCCAGAGGTGTGGGGGTGGGTGGGTGGTAGGAGTCACCAGAGACAGAGAGGGGAGCAGATCAGGCAGATCTACTGAAATACACTGCTGAGGGTAGCAGCAGGCAAGTCAGGAGAGGTCTGCTGCACCATGTGGGTCAGCTCCCTGGCAGGGGTTCGAACTTTTGCTACAGTGGCTGCTGATAGCTTCATAGTGCTGAGACTTAACCCCTTGTGCCACCAGGGAGACCCTCTATTGTTTCTTTTTTAATGAATAAGTTGAGACCTAGAAAATTAGTGACTTGGTAATGATAGAATTGCATAATAGATTCTACTTCCAGACTGGTTTTCTTAGCCCTACTCCTTACTGCCTTGCACTTGATAACATTTTAGGAGAAAATGTTTGCAACACTCTCTACTGTTCAATTTGAATGTGTCACTCCCTGATTTCAGATACCCTGAAGTAAAAGCTACTCATTGCAACGCATGTTGAATTGGCAAGAATATTTTGTGCAAGTTTGTGCTGATAAAACTCTAACATTGGAATATAAGGCATTGCCACAATATAATAAAGGCCATATATTATAAGCCCACAGCCAGTATAACACTTAAAGGTGAAAAATTGAAAGCTTTCCCTTTAGGATCAGAAACAGGACAAGGATGCCCACTGTAATCACTTCCATTTAATCTAATATTGGACATTTTGTCAGAAGTACTAAACAAAAACAGGAAACAAAGGGACTCCAAGTTGGAGAAGTAAAACTATCACAATTCACAAGCAATATATTATTACAGATAACTGCAAAATATTTGAAAAAAATAGATGAATACAACAAAGTGGCAGATTACAAAATTAACGTACAAAAATCAGCAACATTTTTAAAAATTACACTCATGTTTAATAGTGGTAATCACAGGAGAGGAACATTTGCACTTACATCAATAAATTTAGGGGAAATGAATTATGTTAATATCTTTTATGTATTTCTAAAATATCCCTTTGAAATATTCATTTTATTATTAATTAATTAATTTATTTTTAATGGCATATTATTTTGCATTCCTCATTTGCTTTTTCACAATATAGGATTTTCCCCCCAGGTGTCATCACAATAGCTTTCCCATAGTCCTTCACCATAGTCCATTGTGCTCTAGACCCATTTTCTCCTTTCCCTCTTTTCTACTCTCCCCTCTTTGTTGCCTCAGATGTATGGTAAGATTTCAAGGGTTGGTTTTAAAGTTTGACTTTCTCTGGCCTTCTGTTTGATTTCTCTTTAGTCAACCTATAGGTAAAATCATGTGGCATTTATCTTTTTCCTTCTGGCTTACTTAGGATAATCTCTTCCAGTCCCATCCATGTTGCCACAAATGGTATGAATTTATCAAATGACTGTTAAATAGTATTCTATTATGTATCTATGCTACATTTTCTGGATCCACTCATCTGTTCTGTGGCCAGTTAGGTTGTTTTTATCTTAGCTACTATAAATAGTGCTGCACAAACACATGAGTATAGTTTCCTTTCAAATTAGAGATTTTAGTTATTTTGGTAGATACCTAGGAGTGAAATTGCTGGATCATATGGCAGATACATTTTTAGTTTTTTGAAGAATCACTTCTTTCCACAGGGGCTAGGCTAGTATACATTCACAGCAATAGGGTAAGAGCGTTCCTTTTTCTCCACACCGTCACCAGGACTTGTTTTTATTTGTTTGTTTGTTTGTTTATTTATTTTTTATATGGCGCATTCTCATGGATGTGAGGTGGTATCTCATTGTGGTTTTGATTTGCATTTCCTGAATGATAAGTGATACATCTGTTGGCCGTCTGTATGTCTTCCCTTTAGAAGTGCCTATTTAATTCTTCTGTCCATTTTTTGATTGGCTTGCCTTTTTTGTTGCTGTTGTTGTTGAGTTGTATAAGCTATTTGTAGATCTTTTATATCAGTCTCTTGTCAGAAATATGGTATGCAGATATTTTCTCCCATTCAGTAGGATGCCTCTGTGTTAAATATCATTTACATGTGGGGAGGGAGGAGCATATGTGAAGATTAAAAAAAGACATCCTACTGATTGGGAGAAAATATACACATAAAATATAACTGACAAGGAGTTAATATCTGAGATATATAAAAAAGTTAGTTAATTCAGCAATAGAAAAACAAAGAACTCAATTAACAAATGGGCAGCAGATATGAACAGACACTTCATCAAAGAGGGTAACCAGAAGGCCAGTAGATGAATGAAAAAAAAATGCTTATCATTGCTTCTGATAAGATAGATGCAAGTTAAAGATCACAAGGAAATTCCATTATCATACCTTTAAGAATGTCAAATAAAAGATAGATGTCCCCAACAACAAGTGCTGGAGAAGATGTGGAAAAAGAGGAACGCTATTACATTGTTGATGGGAATGTAAATTGGTAGAGCCATTATGAAAAGTGATGTATATTTACCTAAAAAAATAAAAATGGAAATACTATGATTCAACAATCCTACTCTAGGAGACAACTATCCAAAGGAAATGAAATAATCAGTGCAAAATATAGAGGCTCTACAATGCTTATTGCAGCACTACTTATAATAGATAAGACATGGAGCAGGTTAACTGCCCAACAGAAGACTGGGTAAAGATGTGGTATATCCATACTACAGAATACTGTTCAGCCATAAGGACAGATGAAATACAGTCCTTTTCAGCAAAATGGAGGCAGTTCAAAGGAATTTCTTATAGTAAAGCAAATCAGAATGACAAAAACAAATACTGAAATTTACATAGTAGATGATAAAATAAAATACAAAAAGTCAATATAAATAAATGAAGTGAGGACTGATATTGGGAAGGAAGTAGGAGGAAGGAAGGGATAGGGGGTATAACAGATGGTGGTTGGGAATTAAAGATGAAAACAAAAAAAATAAAGATTTTTAGAAAATCTACAAATGGTGTATTCTATGTTTCCTTGTATTCAACATTATTTAGGGAGAAGTCTGTGTCGGGGCAAGGTCTGGGCCCAGTCCTGCATGTGCTTGTACAGGAATGAAGAAGGATGAGTTTCCTTAGTGAGCACAGTAGATATCAATGTTGACTACTTTATATTATGCTGAAGCAATGTGGATAGAAATGTTGAACTTGCTTTTATGTAGAAGCAGATAAAGGAGTGTATATAACACATACGATGTTTAAGAAGAAGAGAGTTGAAGAGCTCCCTTGGTAAAGCATTTTGAAGCTTGGGGTTTCCTCCTTTTTGTCTCTGGAAACCCCCACTTTTGAGAGTAACACAAAAAGTTTGACTTGCATATTTACTACTTTGTATATTCCTATGTGTACTGACAACCAGCTTAGGAGCTTTGTTCTGAACCACAGGAAACCCAATGTTAGTCTGAGTGTGGTCACACAGGCAGGCTGTGTTAAGTTCAGATGTTTATAGAAGATTCCAAATTCTGCATTGATGTGTTCATGGAGGTAGGATGTGTGAGCTTGTTTGTTGTGATTGTGTGACCACAAGAGGCTAATCAGCAGATCTCTCTTGGACCAACAGGCCATCATGTTAACAACTTGGTGAAGAACAATGGGCTCATTGTAATGGAGTTCTTAGGGAAGCACTCCAGAAAAAGGCTCATTTGCCAACACATTGAATTTATTCTGTCTGAGAGTCTCTTCACTAATTAGCTAAGTGAACTTGGGAACTGCATCCAACTTTCCTCATTTGGAAAATAAGACTTTTGGCAGAGTTGCCTCCTAAGGTAACTTTTGGCTCTAACATGATGTTGTTCTAAGAGATCATGGTGGTTTCATGGGAAATATTTTCTTCAGCCTAAGCAGACAGTTCCTGAAAAGAAGCAAATTGAGTTTTTCCGTTTCATATCCTGAACAACTAATTCTTTCATTCTTTCAACCTTAGAAAAGAAATGAAACTACATGTCACAGAATGTTCACACTTTAGCTAAAATAGTATTTATTGCATTCAGCCCAGAGAAAGCCTTACTATCAACAAATTTATTATCATAAAGTTGTACCTATTTTATAAAACTCTTCCTATCTATGTAATATTTGCTCTTTCTCATTCTGAATATGGGTTATTTACAGTTTCTCTCAGTGGTCCCACCCTTCAACTATTTTGGAATCCCCAATTTGACTTACAGGATTGGATTTCTTTGAACTTGAAACTTATGTTAATGGTTTCTTATGCTGTTACTGTCTTTGGGCTTCATTGTTATGCATTCAGTGATTTGAATATTTAATTAGGAATAACTTCCCTAGACTTTAATTGCATACTTTAAGCCCCAATTCCATCTAAGGATGATGTCAATACAGTGTTATAAAGAAAGAGATGAAGACAAAAAAGCCTTATATTTTTCTTTTTGTAAGGCCCCATAAGGTGGACCTTTACACTCTGACAATGCTTCCATGTGGAGACATACTCAACATTCAGTGTTGTTGCTAAAGTTCTGTCTATTACTGCCCTGGAACCAAGTCTGGAGGAGCTTAGACTGTTGCAATGTCATTTGGACATGTGGCAGTAAGGATGAAGGTGTTTTCCCTGTTGACTCAGGTCACTTTGATAGCTTCTTGACCATAAATTAAACCTAGATGACATAAAAATCATGGATATGGCAAACTTCCACGTTTCCTCAAAAGTATGTTTGCAAACCTTTCTGGCTGAGGATAAGGGCGAGAAGACACCAGCACCAAGAACAGACATTCCATAAGACCTCTTCCCACAGTACCTAGTATAACTACCCAGCACTGTCCCCTTCCTTCGAAAGCATTAGATTTGTTGTCTCTTTTTCTTATTACAAGGAAATAAATACTTGTCATTCCAACACTCCACTCAGCAGCATTTTTTTTTTTCACAGATACCCAATAAGAGAACCAATCCACTGAGCTCAGTTATGTTCTTGGATGTGAGGCCTTTTCTGCCAACTGCTGCTGTGGGAGGTCCAGAAATTGTAGTCCCTGCTTTGTACCCTGCTTTTTGTACCTCCTGTCTGTGTCACCTCTTCATTTAATTTTTGTGAGCTTCATTTTCCTCCCCTAGAAAATGGTGTTACTTATATTTCATATCTCAACAGAATTGTTATGAGGATGAAATTTGTCAAACACGGAGCCCAGGGCTAAGGACATAGTAAGTTCTCAACTAGTGCTAGCTCTTATTATTACTGAATTTCTGTCCTTTGGGGTTTGAAGTCTCTCCAGGTGAAATGAATTTGAATTCCCAAATGTCTCCAGCACTGGGGCACTGGCAATGGGTAACCAAAGGAAAAAACCCAAGCTGTAAATCTGTCACATTTTCTGTTGATGTGATCGTTTTAGATATTTAAATATTCATGTGTTTGGCAAATGCATTAGAGCCAGAGTGATAAGTCTGAAACATATAGATGGTTATCGGAGACATTAAAGGGAGACGGATGGTCTTTTGGGCATCAGAGATCGACCAAGTTTGCATTAGGAATTCAGACTGTTACATGTCATTAAGTTTTGAGCCACTTTTCTTTTCCCTCTCCCTATGCAGCAACAGTAGGTCTACTGTATTGACTAGAGCAAAGTATAATGCAGATCAATATGATCAGCTTGAAAGGGAACTGGAAGTACAGAGAATGTATACCTTTAAAAATTGGATTTTTCTTTCAACGGGAAAAGCTTTATTAATTTACGTATAGGTCAGCAGATATAGTTTCTATTTTCTTAAAACACAGTTAAAATTATACAATTTTTGTGGAAAAATCTTTGGAGTATAGAGAAGAAAAAGAACTTTCTAGTCCTTTCACTGCAAAAGACCATCTTAAATATATTTTTGCTTTTTTCCTACCTAAAGTTTCTTCCATACATTGGATTTTTCTGGTCTATTGTTATGGTGATATTATATGTGTTATTTTCCAATTCCCTTCCTTTTCACCCATAATTATTATGTCTTAAGTTACTATAGTTAATAATAACAATGGTAGCAGAGATTTATTGAGTGCTTTCTATATATCAGGCACTATTTAACTAATTACATGAATTAATCCATTTACTCCTCACGGTTCAGCAACTCACCCAAATCATGGACAGATGCCAGGGGAAGAGTCAGGACTTGTACCCAGGCATTTTGTAAACAGGGCCAGTTCTTAATAACTGCTCTAAATCATTCTCAAGTATTAATAAGTTTAGAAGGTGATATTTATTTTAAGCAGAGCCATTGCTACTTTTCACATGTCTAGTCAGTCATATTGGTGTTTATATATCCATCACCTCGTACAGAAACTCAGTACATTTTTTTGAATGAATGAATGACTTTTTAATTTGGATGCATGGCATCGATAAAATCCCATAGTAGATAAATACAAACATTGAGTCAATGAAGTTGTGTAGAAGATAATCCAAAAATATTTCCCATTCTACTTGCTTTATACCAGAACTTGCCACTCTCCCATCAAAGGTGGAGTCTAGCCACTGTCCTTGATTCCTTATAGTCATTTAGGACAGGCTCAGCTAGTGGAATAGAGGAGAGATTGATGCCATATGACTTGGGGGACTGGATAGTAAAGGTGGAACATCTTCAGTCTTGCTCTCCTGAGATTCTGGCTTTAAGAACTCAGCCACAGATGCACAGATGTCAAGCAGCAGCAGGGAGGGTTTTGGGGACAGCAGGAATCAGCCTGCAGACAGGTGAACTAGTGAGACTTTAGATTACGTCAGCCCACAGTGGATGAGCCATGGAATAGAAAAAAGACAACCCCTGTAAGCCGCCTCCATACAGCCTTGTGAGCAACATGGAGCTTGTTTTTTTTTTTTTACCCCACAGAGTTGGGGGTTAGGATAGCCCCCCTAAGATGTTCAGATATCCTTTCCCAAGATTTAGACAGGCCTTCCCACTATTTTAATAATAGGCTTTCCAAAGCCATGTCCCTTTGACATGTAGATTATTTTGAATTAAGGTAATTGGAGGCTTTTTACAAGATAACTTTACCCCTCCCTTAACTACCTAAATGAATGAAAATTGGGAGTCACCCAGAATTAGGGATATTTCCAGGAACAACTTTCTATTGGAGAAAGCTATCTATATGGCAAGGCAAACAGGTAATTCAAGAACATTTGACCTTCAACATACCTGTTACCCTCTGCTCAAGTTCCTTTCTCATTCCTTGAAGACCCAGACTTCTATTCCATTCCTTAGCTCAGGATTAAAAACCCTCATTTTGCTGCATTTGCTTTTGGACCTGCATCCATGTAGATTCTTCCTATACAAATAATTATTTTTTACTTTTTTTCTGATGTTGATTTGAGTGCTCATCCAGCCAGAGAAGAAACCAGAGAGGTAGAGAAAGTTTCCTCTTTACCCCTGCACTTGTTAAACAGCAACAGATAACTATGATATCAGGTTCACTTAGTAATTTAAACATTTTCCTCATGATTTTAAGAATCATGTTAACAACTTGGTGAAGAACCAACTTCTGGAAACCAACTTCTGGTTTAAAATAGCATCAACTTATTTGAAAAATTTCTAGCATTCTCCTGTAGAGGAATTAGCTGAACACCCTTTTTCAGAAGTCACTGAATTTTTCAAATAGGTAATTATTAATGTTTTAATATCTAGGAATTTTTATCTTCACTTTGAAAACAGAAATTTATACTTTGTGGATACGTTTTCCAATAGCTAATTATCATGATAATCTCATGTCTTCTCTTCTGCTAAAAAGATCAAATTCACTCTCGCTCCTTCCCTCCGCCATCGCGCTGTGTGGCTTGCCTCTTCCTCGCCTTGTCTTCTCACAAGATTTCCAGGATCAAGCGATTCCAAGCCAAGAAACAAAAACAGAATCGTCCCATTCCCCAGTGGATTTGGATGAAAACTGATAATAAAATCAGGTACAATTCCAAGAGGAGGCACTGGAGAAGAAGCAAGCTGGGTCTGTAAGGAATCACACGGAGATGGCGTGCATATTTATGCTGTATCAAGATCAGTAGCATCTACCATGTCACTGAAAACAAATACATAAAAAGGAGGATAATAATGGGAAAGCAGTTTGATAACACAGTTGTTTATAAGTCAATTCTCGTTTTAGCTTTGGTCCTACAAACTACCAGTCAATCAGAGAGGGTGCAGAGTTCAGACTGAGGGGGCCAGGACCTACTAGAGGCCAAGGACATATGATCAGGCACATGGGAGGCACCAAAGTGCATCTAAGAAATCCAGAACAAAGCAGTATTTTACAGCCCAATACACAAGTGGGATTCAAACAATTACTGTCCTTTCCCAGAGGTGAGGGCAGCTCAGGAAGAGAGATGAGAGGTGAGAGGCAAGTCATGAAGAGGCACTTCTAATAAGACTTGGCCTAACCTGAGAACAAGTTCCAACAGCCTAAAGAGTCATTGGGCACCTTTCATGAGCAAGACACTGATTCAGAGGGTGGGTGTCAAAAGGAGGAATGAAAAAAGACCCTGCTTGCACAGCGAATGTGTGACCCAAGGCTCTGAGTATGCCACAGCATGGAGCAGGTACCCTGAGAAATTGTCTTAGGCTGATCACTCTTTCTCTTTTTTTTTAAAAGATTTATTTATTTTTACCAAAACCGGGGTACAGGCCAGATGTGTGGGAGGTGAGAGGATTCACCAGAGACAGAGCGGGGAACAGAACAGGCAGACTGATTAAATACACTGCTGAGGGGAGCAGTGGGTGAGACAGGAGAGGTCTGCTGTGGCATGTGGGTTGCTCCTCAGTCAGCTGGGATCGAACCCGCATTGCAGAGGCTGTGGACAGCTTCACAGTGTGGCACTCAACCTGCCTGCTCCACCCAGGGAGGCCCATGATCACTCTTTCTATGACATGTCAGAAGCTTCAGGCTGCTTTCTGCTCCCAGGACACAACCTGTCCCTCACCTTCATTCCCTCAACCGATGGGCTTTTCCTATTTGTTTGTCTGCAAAAACCAGGTATATATTTCACAACCACTTTGGAAATTGTCACCTTGAGGGAGAGTCTCCTCCACTTCAAAGAATGTTGAAACTTCTACCATCCCTTTGGTTGCTTTGCATTGTGAGGTCTCTTATTTGATTATCTCTCCCATCAGAAAGTGTGGTCCTAAAAACTAAGTTATAGCTCTGTTTGTCCTAGGATTTGGCATTTATTAATTACTTTTATGGACCAGATACAGGGTTGGGTGCTTTAGTTATGCAATCTATTTCCCAACTCACAAATGAAGAAACCAAGGCTCAGAGAGGTTAAGTAACTACCAAAGACACACGGTCTTTCAGAAGATCTGACGCTTTCTACTAAATGATCCCAATTCATATACAATGAGTCAACAGCCAACAAATGTTTATTGAAAGACTGAATGATTGACAACAAGTAAATTGGCTGGGTCTAACTAGAAAGGGGAAGCAAAGGGTGGCTGTTAAAGCAATCCTAGAAAGTATTCACAGGCAATGGAAGTTTATGTTCCAGCAAAACCTACCTTTTGGAATTGAAGAGTTAGTTGTGTTTTTTATGTTTGCCCATGCTTTGCAGCCACTTTTTTCTTCTCTTTGTCTTTAACTCTTACTCTTTCTTTTTCATCTTTATTCATTCATTCACTAACTCACTCACTCATCCAAAAGATACGTAGTCTGCTTTGTATCAGCTATTGTTCTAAATGCTGGGAATTCAGCAATAAGGAAAGTTAATCTCTATCTTGTGTCTGTGTGTCCATGTTTGTGTGAGTAAAAGATAGAAATAAAGGCAAAGAGTTCACAAGTAGAAATGTTAGCATCCTAAGCTGAAACACAAAATGCATTTCCTTACAAACTTACTGAAAGTTACCCATCTAGGCAGAGAATATCAGTATAGCGCATGTATTTGGCCTAAAACACGCCCAACTTTGTGACCAGCTCATTTAACTGAAGACATGAAAAGTAGCTAAAGATAACTGAGTGGTTTAAAATAACTGGATTGGACAAGTGTTTTGTGTTCAAGCAATATTTTATGGAGGAGCCTTATTAGGTAATCTAAATCTCATAATTTCAGCAGCTTAAAGAGATCATTCAAGTAGTATATTTTCCAAGTTGGTGTTTCATTTACAAGTCTGAAAGACCATCCCTTAGTCCACCCAGGGCGGCGGCTGCTGGGTGGCACTATACATGACAAGGCCAGTGTGTCCCACAATCATACCTGCTCTTTCACCTCCTTTGCTGTAAATTGGGTACCTCTGTCCGATGCATGATCTGTGTGGTTTTGTGTCAGAGGGTCAAGCCCTCAGGAGTCATGAGATATTGTTTTGAGTAAGGTCATGTGGATGGGAGAAAGGCAGTGCCATGCTTGGAATATATATTCATTTCAGTCAATATGAGTTGTTGGCCCTTCTGTGGCAGAAATATTCAGTATAATCAACTTTCCACCAAGTGACTGTTTTGTCTCCAAGTTGGAGACAAAAGTGTTGGGCTCAGGCATCTTCACCCTTGTCCTCCCCCACACTTTGGTGACTTGGTTCATGTGTCCACTATGCCACCATGGGGTGGCTTTTGCTAGAAACTGGCTGACAGCTGCCTCAGTTTACTTGTTCTTTAGTGTTTCTTCCATGGTGGATGCTTTATGGTGGGTGTTCTCAAACTTTACAAGGAGCATCATTTTTTTTTTTTTTTTTTTTGTGGGACCCTCGCCGGCAGCCTGGAAACGAACCAGCGCTGCAGAGGCTGCAGGCAGCCTTGCAGCCCAGCGCTCAACTGCTACGCCACCAGGGGAGGCCCAAAGAGTGTCATTCTGATCTCCCATAAAACATGCATATGACTCTTCCCCAGAAGACCTTTCCCTTGAGAGTTAATCTTTGTCCTGATAGGTCCCTCACTAACCAGCCAGGCTATTTGCCACTATTCACGAGTCTATGTCTTCTCTGACCTTGATTTCCCTTTTTTTCATCCCAAGTGGATGACAAGACACACCACCCAGTTGGCAGAATTTTCCTTATTACTGCTGGAATCCACACCCATGGAGGAACCTGCAGTGGAACAGCTATTCAGTTCTGGATTTGTTATATGCTGAGCACAACCAGTTATGACAAAAGTTGCTCTCTTCTTGTCTCTGTCAGGAGATCGTAAGCAATACTCACCTATAATGTTCTAGCAGGTGCGAGCTCCTGAGTCAGGCTGTACATGCACACTTTGTCCATGCCCAATAAGGCAAGTTGCTTCTGATCTTCATGACAGATGGAAAAATACTGCACTTTCCAGATGAATGACTGCAAGACATGTACCTGACACCATGTTAATTTGCTCTAAGAAAGAGAACACATTATCACACTGGTTTGACTGGGGATATACTTGCTTCAGCTGCCATAGTCCACTGCTATCTGTTAATCTTCTGTTTTTTGTGGGGCCTGAGTGATGGAGTAAATTGGGGTTTTATCAGGTTGCCACCCCTACCATTTTAGGATATTCAGAGTGGCACTGATTACTGTCATTCCCTTTAGGATATAACTTTGATTCACATGTGACTCTGTGTGTGTGTGTGTATGTGTTGATTTTATCAGCTTCTGCTTTGCCTTCTCCGATTGCCAAAAACAATAAACCAAGGTAGGTGGTGTGTTTACTATTAAGTATGTTAATTCTAATTATAAATTGGGGGCCCATTGAAATGATCAAGGACAGAATAGATCTGTTTTAAGTTGGCTCTGGGTCAGGACTCTATTACTTGGACTCAGACATCCCCATTCTAACAGGGATGCTGTGATGACATTTTGGGCTCCTACATTTCAAAGCCAATTCAGAGCTTTGTCTAATGATGCTGGAAGTGTGTGGGTATGGTCTTTACTCAAGTGAACAATTAGCTATGAAAATAGCCCTGGACTTCTTTGAGGAAAGCCTGGAAAATCTTTGCTATATACAAACATGCTTCATTTGGTATTCTTCATTTGGGAGATAAAACCTTTCCTTCAAAGGGTTCCTGATGGGAAAACTGGCTCAAATTTGGAAGTTACACTAGGAATTGTGAATTTATTTGGGCAGCTACTTTTTATTATTTAAATTATTGCATGTTTTGAATGATACTCATATTGGATTCCATCCATCTTGCCCCAATACTTCTGTTTTATGTCAACCATCTCCATAGTTCTCCCAGCTTCCGTTCCAATCTTGCTTCTCATTACGGTAGTTGCAGCCACCCTGCCTCTGGTAGCTGAAACTTGAGTTGTAGTGTGTCTGATTCCTGTCATCCCCAATACTACTAGCTCTGTAACAGCATCTCCTGTGATCAGCCTGGACTACATACCAGCTCTGAGTTTTCAGTGATCCTAGTGTTGCTTTTACCAACATGTTCCTTATCACTGGCAAACAGAGTGTCCTCTGGGGCCTCTTTTGGAACAAGGTAGTGGTGGTGGTGCTGGTTTGTGGCCTCATACAGAATATCTGCGCTAGTAGACCCACATAAGAAGTAGACCTTATGATTACTTTTTCTAGTTTCTGCTGTAGCAGTTTTTTATAATTCTACTTCATTTAACATGGGCCATTGTTATCAAATATTCTAAGAACCATCCTACAAAATTCCTTGTCGGATGCTTATGTATTAGAGGAAAGTTTTCTCATTTCATTGAACTCTCCCATTTCCAACTTCATGTTACAGTATCTTCAGTTTTCCATCCCACATGTGTTCCTGGTTCTTACTGTACAACTATGTTTCACAACAACTTTAACACATAGTCCTCAAACTTTGTGGTTTAAAGCAAAAACTGTTTTATTATATCTCACAGCTTTCTGGGTTAGAAATACAGACAGGACCCAGCTAGGTAATTTTATTCTACAAGTGACAATGGAAGTCACTTGATGGTATTTAGCTGGACCATAGGCTGGTCTGAGGACATAGTCTGCTCATGTGTCCCTGTGCAAACGGGAATGGTTGCAAGGCCATACATGACCTCCCTAGCATGACAGTCACAAGGTAGTCAGAACTCTT